CGGTATCTAATTGTATTTTGAATATATATAATTTTATAGAGTTTTAAATATGTAATATAACTTCATTATTAATTACCTGATCTTCTAAGGGTAATTCCATAAAAATCGGAGGTACTTGCATTTTGATGATTTTTACCACGTTTTCTCAATCACAATTTAAGAAAGAATAAGTTTACTAGTAACTAGTTAAAATTTCTTATTTTTCTCATGATTACCAATTGTAAAGAAAGAAATTTCTATGATTGTTAGTAGAAAATATGGTTTATTTTAAATACAAATTATAGTAGAATGAATTTATGTCGAATTTATAATTTAATTATTATATTTTATCTATAATATTTAATTAGATTAGAAATATATTATATCTAAAAAGAGATTAAATATTTGGTATAACTTCTTGGTAGTATTATCTAAAATCTAAGAATTAGAAATTATGAAATCAACGCCATCTTTAGAATGTTGAAAATGAAAATTTATAAAATGAAGAAAGGAAATAGTAGGAGACAAATTTAATAAGAATTGGTCATCAGCGCCATCTATTGATTATTAAAAACATTTCTTCAAAAATAGGGTAAAGGTAAAATAGGATAGGTAGGTAAAATAGAATAAAATTGAGAAACGTTATCTTTTGAGTTATTTTAGAAAGATATTTTGAAAGATATTCAAGAGATGGCGCTGACGATCAATCTTTATCTTTTTTTATCCCTTTTTTATGTTCTACAATATTATATAGATGGCGCCAATTCCCTAATTTTACTGTCATCTACTATTTATCTTATTTATATGTGATCTTCAACATTTGCGTTCAAGAGACAATTTTAATATTTAATAAATTTTTATTGTCTTGTTTAACTTATTGATTTAAATTAATATATCGATCTATCAGCTATCTACATCTATTTGAAAATTCAAATACTTTTATTCCTAAAATATTTAGAATAAATAGAGAATGAAAATTACTTTTGCATAATTTACTATATTCTCTATATAAAATATATAACAACGTGACATCAAATTAATTAATTTTAACTAACTAATACAAGTAAAAAATATCACTCATTATTATTTCAAAAGTTCCAAATCTACTTCGTACAAATCTTTTCTTTTTTTTCAAACCGTCTTACCAGTTACTAATATATATAATGTTATTTGAACGTTAATTTTGCCATATTTGATTGATATATTTATAGTTCAGTTTTATTTGTGCGCGATCTGTTTAGCGTGCATTATCAATAAAACATGAAAAACATTTTACGGATGACTACCAACTGTTTCCTGTGCGCTCAGCTATTTTTATAACTCTATTGGTTTGAAGTTCTTTGGGAAAGCAGTGAAAATAATTTCGGTAGACCGGTAGCTTGTTTAATGACAGTGACGTTAGGTATCTGGACCACCGAACAAGTTAGATGCTTCTTTTTCTTCGTTCTTCCGGCACAAAGTTTCACGAAAAACAGAAATCACTAGAGATAAACATGTACTCTGAAAGTACTTTTGAAAAGACGAGAGTGGAATGTTGGCTAATTATTGAACGAGACATCGCAATCAGATAGAAATGTTGGTAATTATTTATAAAGATAAATGGTCCTAATTTTATTTTTCTATATAATAATAGTGTAAGTTTTACACTAATATTTTTATAATATTAATATTATTATTATATTTTAATATTATTATTATTTTAATATTATAAATTTTTAAAATATTATAAAATTATATATATTAAATTATTATTTTTATTATTATTATTTTAATTATTATTATTATTTAAATTATTATTATTTTATTAATATTATAAATTTTTAAAATATTATAAAATTATATATAAATATTATAAATTTAAAAAATATTTGTAAAACACTTGTTGGATGGATAAATGATTAGAGAATAATTGTATAAATTCAAGAAGGATATAAGTTTTTTCTTGTAAATGGATGGATGAAGATTGCATATGCATAAAATTATAAAATATTATGAATAAACTGAAAAAAATATTTTAATATATCTCTTTCGAGAGTGTTGTAAATTATTATATTAGAAGAGGCGAGTGGTAAAGCTTGAAATTTATGAAACAGTTCCTTCGAATTAAGGATTTGTATAATACCTCGAAAAAGCATACTTATATATGCTGTACAACATGGATTCTTCCAAATACGTTTCCAAGAAACGTTCAAAAACTTCTTTACTGAATATTTTATATCCTTCTCTAAAGATATAGCTCCTCCAGGTTGCGAAAAAGAATCTTCAAGAGAGAAATATCGAATCTTACATTTAAAAATAAATTGGTTTCCGAAAAATTGTTATTACTATTAATCTTTTAAAATTTCATAATATTATCTTAATTTGAACGTTAAATTGTTTTTCATTTTAACCATTTTCGTGCACAGAAATTTAATCCATTAAAAATCGTATACAGTGTATTATTCATTGTTTAATAAAAAAATAAATATTCCAATTAGCTTTATGAGGTTCTTATTAATATATTTCTTAATTTAAAGTTAAAAAAAAAATCAAATTCATTTTAATTTTATACTAATTACTTTGTTGAAAGATTAAGAGTGTTTTGTTTGTTGAAATAAGAAATATTTAGATTAATCCACTTTATATTTTAATCGAAATATACTTTATACTTGATTATTTTCTTTGCTTCAAATATTTTTGAATATACAAATAGAAAAAACTATCATTAAACATTCTTTGGGAAGAAATATAATCGAAACATTTATAAAATTTCGCGCGCTTCTTACCCAGCTGTTAAATTTCCCACATGTATGCTAACAATGCGCATTGTCTGAGGTTTTTCTCCGGTGAATGTTGAACATTCCATTCCATGGAAGCCATTTCGAATCTATATATAGAGTGTAACATTAAATAATTTTTTTAAATATCCATAAAATCATTGCACGAGAAAAAATTCATACAGTTCAATGTTCTTCATTTTATTTATTTATTTTTTTTAAACATTTAATTCACAGATATCGTAAATCCATTTTTAAGTTTTATTACCACCAATGTTTAACCAATGAATAAATTCTACTTCAGTAGTGCGCATTATCATCACTGCATATCGTACAAGTGAAATATTTTCTTGAAAAATTAAATTTGTCGTCCGTTAAATTATCATTACCTTATCTTATGTAAGTGCTTTTAAACGATTTCAACGTGTGCTATGATAAAATCGAAATTTCAACGTTTTACAAAATTTACGCTTTTCGTGTCGTTGTAAAAGCTGTAAGAACCAACCGTTCAAAGACCCGCCATCGCGTGTCTGATCAGACAAGGAGCATGGACAGTACTTTATACTGCAGCTCCATCTGCGGATTTTCGTTTAATAAGCTCATCTGTATGCGGAATTATATTATCTTAGGCGATACTAGCGCCACGTGAACGTCATATTGCTCTGTTAACTTTTCTGTTCGTTTGTACGTGAGTGGTCAAATTGATCATTATGTTTCCCTCTTGCTTATTAGATGTGCTAGACGCGTATTCTGGTAAAATTAGTAAAATTATTATACGTGGAATTATTTAATATGAATTTTGGATAAATAAAAAATATAGATAAATATAGATGAAGTTTATTTTAAGTGGATGAGAAATATAAACGTAGATACAACAGTGAATAAGATATGTATAAAAGAGTTACAATTTATAATTTATAAAAGTGAGGAATGTACAATTATAATATGTATCATTTTAAAAATAAAAATATTTAATTATATTAAATCTTTCGGTTAAAGTACTATCATTTTTTATACGAACAATAACCGCAAAGTAGATTTCATCTACGGGAGAAAATTAGAACTCCAAGTACAGTAAATATCTTGGAGAGATCAAGCCAGTAAAGTAGATCAAGATATCCATACACATTATAAATTCTGGAGAAACACACTGGAATTCGACTATCCGATAAATCAAAACTTTATATTATAACCAAGAATATATATTTGAAGGACAAATTATGATTTTTGGATAGAATTAGACCACCTTAAATCTTGAATGCAATCCATTTTTCTCATAAGTCTTTAAATATTACATGAATAAATTGCTAAGCTTTCAAATTACTATTCAAATCAACTTATTCAATTAAAAAAAAATATATATTTTCTGAAGAGTTTATATCTACCATAGTATCCCCATAATCCAAATGTTTCATCAATGAACATCTTAGCAATTAGAAAATTGCTATTCCAAGTCAATGATACGAATAATCTAGTCTCTGCAATATCTATGTAATTCTTACTCATCTAACGATAACTAAAAAATATATTTGATTAATATCTTCCGCAATAAAATATTATAAATTGGAAATTTACACGAAGTGATATTTCATTGTCTATAAGGAGCACGAATATAAATCATTTTTCGTATATTTTTATCAATTTTAAAATATCTAATCGTATTTTCTGTACTCTTATTCTCGCATAGTCTTGCTATTCATATTCATAATTTTTATGTGATTATAGTCACCGGTAATCCTTACGATTAATCTCCTTCTAGTCAAGATTCTTTTTCACTATCCTCTTATCTTAGATTACCCAGAGTATATTTTCCGCGTCCCTTATTGTTCGTGGAATAATGCAACTCTGTATTACTTCTTGCGATAGGCGACAGGCGGAAAAGGATAGTTTCTTATCGTCTCTTTCAATCTGACAGAATATCTCGATGTTATTATATATTTTTTTGCAATAATTGTAATTGTTATTACAAATATATTAAATTGTTCAAATTTTCCAAGTTTGATCAAATTTTTAATATATTTACGTATATCACTAACTCGATTTTCATTATTATTATTATTATTATTATTGTATCTATAGCAAAAAATATTTCATATGGAATTAAATGATTTTGATGTTAGAATAAAAAGTATATGATACTATTAAAAAAAAAAAACAATAATCCAATCGTTCATAAAATTTTAAAATTAAAAGTAATAATATCAAAATATATTCTTTTTGAAAAAATTTGTTGCCATCAATAATATAAATAATAAAACGAAATATCTGATAAATCATCCTAAATGTATGTTGTTTTTAATATGTAAGAAAATATACGTGAAGTGAACAACAATTGTGGATTAGAAGATTTGTGGATAAAAGAATACGCAAACGATTTTAGAAATAAAATCGAGCAACTTGCTTTTCCTACTTGATTTACCAGTATCCAGATTCTCTTATGGTAAGAAATTTGAGGCAAACGGCTTTCGATTTCGCGATGTCACAGCTGGGAAGAATTCTTCCACCGGCGAGAAATGAAATTTCGTTCTCCCAGTGGTTGGAATCCCTTGTGGGCGCCGCTCTCGTACCGGAGGATACGCTTTGTGAACGGCTTAACTTCGGTTTACACGATGAAGCGGACGTGTTTCGTCGTGATAACAAAGGGACGACGATGGCTCGTCGAAAAGTCTTAGGAAGAATTGGAGGTGAAACGTGTTTCTTAAAAAACGACAGATTGCCGTCGAAATTTTTCTAATTCATCTCCTAAATTTTTATTTCTTGAAGATAAATCAAGATCTCGAAGGAACAATGGTGCACAGTGTTTTTCAAAAAAAGAAAATAATAGTAACATCTAGTAACATTTAATAACGCATAATAATATTTATTTTTAGTAGTTGCGAATAACTTAAAAAACGACAGATTGCCGTCGAAATTTTTCTAATTCATCTCCTAAATTTTTATTTCTTGAAGATAAATCAAGATCTCGAAGGATGCAAAGTGTTTTTCAAAAAAAGAAAATAATAGTAACATCTAGTAACATTTAGTAACGCATAATAATATTTAGTATTTTTAGTAGTTGCGAATAACTTAAAAAACGACAGATTGCCGTCAAAATTTTTT